TTAATTCGCTGTTAAGGTTAAATAACGACTCACCAGAGGAGCTAACTTGCATTAAAGTGCAGCAGAACGTACAAACGTGTTTCTCGGTTTAACTAAGGTTTGTTTCGAGCAATATAGGTGACATTAACTTACTCACCAGTCGATGTTATCAGCCTTTTGTCTGTCAGAAAAAAAGGCTCCAACTCCCGACATGAAAAATGACACGATGAATAATGTTAGCTTGCTGTTAACAAGTGAAAACAACTTAAAATATCGCAGTTTTGCATAAAACAGAAATAATATACTAACCTTTCGTCGAGTTAACCGTGCATTTCTCTTTTGTCCTTTTACAGCCACTTCCACCAAACAGTCAAAAAAGAACTCCCTTGCCATTGGTCAGTTTTTCGCGGGCAAGTTCACTACTGTACATTGATTTACAGTAGCGAGGAAATACAGTAGTGACCGTATATTGTCCCGTAATCCTTTGCGGTTTGCAGTAAAATACTGTATACGCATTTTACAGTATCTTACTGTACATATTACAGTATAATACTGTTCAAATTACAAAAATCAGTTACAGTGTGCATGCAGCACGCTGTCAACAATGGCAGGTATTCATGTGTCACTTATAAACTGTAACAGTTCTGCCTTTTGGCTATGCTGACACACCATAATTCAGAGCAAATATGTTTGGTATCTTTCCCTGCATGGAATATCTTTTTAAAAATAATGGTATCACTTTACATTAAGGATTTATTTCATCAAGATTAGTTAATTCATTAAGTATCATACACTTTTACAGCATTTCTTAAAAAAGGTAAATGATTGTCTTAATTTTTTTGAAGACATCTAATGTTCACTAAGACTGAATTTATTTGTTTAAAAAAATACAGTAATATTTTTAATTATTATTGAAATTTAAAGTAACTTTTCTATTTTAATATATTTTAAAATGTGCTTAAAATATATTCATATAATGGCAAACTGAATTTTTAGCAGCCGCTACTCCTGCTTTGTCACATGACCCTTCAGAAATCATTCTAATATGATGATTTGCTTCTTAATTATTATTGGTGCCCAATTATTAATAATGGTTTTTATTATTATCCTCATTGAACAGTTTTTGCTGGATAATATTTTTGTGGAAACCATGATACATTTTTTTCAGGATTCTTTGGTGTACAGAAAGTTCAATCATTTATCCTTGCATAAAAAAAGTATTAATCTCTCTTAAAAAAAAACACTTCTTTCAAAAACATTAAAAAATCTTAATTATTCCAAACTTTTGGCCAGTAGTGTATATACTGATGCATTTTAAGTTAACAATTAATGTATTATGAATGAACATGAAGTAACAGTGAGTAATATTTATAAATTAACATCAACCTAGATTAATATTTTTGGAAAAATTGTTAATTTTTAGTGCACAATACCAATGCATTAACTAATTCTAACAAATCAAGTCTTATTGTAAAGTTACTAAAATAGCTTTAAAAATTTCCATCAAATATTCTGAATATAAGAAAATTCCCAGGATTGCTCTCATTTCTGTTAAGTGTGATTTGGCTAGTAAGTTGTGTTTGGCTTTGTGTATCAGGTTCTCCCCCGGCAAACCTGTGGGCTTTTCACACATACCATCTTCTACAAAGATTATCCAGGAGGCCCTCAGGAGCTGGACAAGAGCATTCGTGGAGGAGAGCTGTTTCTTACAGTGTTGCTCAATCCGGTTAGTGTCACACCAGCAACGACACACTAGCCCAGATACAGCCAACACCTAAAACAATGCTGTAATATGACAAACGTAGTCTTTTTGACCTACTTGTCCCTGTCCTCTCCCATGGGTAGGTTAGTATATTCATGACTCACCTGTCAAACTATGGCAACGACCGGCTGGGCCTGTACACCTTTGAGTCACTGGTGAGGTTTGTGCAGTGCTGGACTCACCTGCGCCTGCAGACACTGCCTCCCGTCCGCCTCGCTCAGAAATACTTCCAGATTTTCCCTGATGAGAGAGACCCCTTGTGGCAGGTTTGTGCAATTACATTTTCATGCTTATAACTGGGTGAATCTCATAGAGGCTGCCAAAGAAAGACATTGAACATATTTTACCCCAATAATAAAGCATATTAAATATTATGTTAAAATGTAATTTTAAATTATATTGCATGTCATTACAACCAACATGGTTCTAAAAATAGGCTTTTTTTTAATTAAAAAAAATATTATTCAATAATATTCTCAACAATTGTTTTTAATAAATAACTTTCACTTAGCTAAGGTTTCTTTGTTTTGTCTTAAATTAATTTAGATTTTTTTTAACACATTTTCCCCCCACATCCAAAATTAAAATGCATGTTTAGGTAATGAACAGGAAAACTTGTTACAAGTGATTTATATTAGTCTCATATTAATTTATGCTCACATTATACTTACAAATACTCTCCCTGATAAACAGAACCCGTGTCATGACAAGAGACACAAAGACATCTGGTCCAAAGAGAAGACCTGTGACAGACTGCCCAAGTTTCTAGTGATTGGCCCTCAGAAGACCGGTAACAAAACCTCTGAATATGATTATTTTATTTTTTATTATAAGTTAGATATGCATTCTCTTTTGAACATACTATATACTGTATGTATGTGAAGCTGTTTGCAGTAACAGAAGAGTGTACCCATTGTTGTTTGTTAGTCATTAAAACCATTAGAGACTAATACACAATTTAATAATAAGCCAGGCTTTATGATGTAGAACACTTTATGATTCCACATACAAGTCACAGAACACAGAATATTTCCTAGAAATGTGATTACTATTTGATCAAAACAACTTGATGCAGTGGTGTCATGCTCTTTTTGCAGGAACCACCGCGCTTCACTCTTTTCTTGGCCTTCATCCTGCCATTACCAGCAGCTTCCCCAGCCCCATCACCTTTGAGGAGGTGCAGTTCTTCAGCGGACCAAACTACCAGCGTGGCATTGACTGGTAACCATGGAAACCCCATCCATATCTCATTTTCTTTGTTTCCAAATCAAATACCAATTTTTGTAAAGCCTCACTCGCATCACACTGACACAATTTTTTTTGGGACCATGCTAAATGCATATATTATTGCAGTGATACACCCTGTACTTAAAAAGCCTAACCTTGATCCACAGGTCCTAGCCAATTACCGGCCTATATCAAAACTTCCTTTCCTTTTAAAGGTATTGGAGAAGGTTGTTTTTCATCAGCTTTCCTCCTCCTTAAAGAATAGTGATATACTGGACAAATTTCAGTCTGGGTTCAGAGCTCAGTATAGTACAGAAACTGCTCTTTTAAAAGTGTTAAACGATTTGCTATTAGCTGTCGACTCTGGGAAATGTGGGGTTTTGATCCTTCTAGATCTAAGCTCGGCTTTTGACACTATCGACCATTCTATTTTATTGATACGACTGGAGGAGGAATTATCAACAATTAGGTATGTTGGAATTAGGGGAACAGCATTAAACTGGTTCACATCCTATCTTAAGGGGAGCTCTTTCTCTGTAGCTATTGAGAATTTTACCTCTGTTAATGCTGCATGTACATGTGGGGTACCACAGGGTCCCGTTTTAGGCCCTGTTTTGTTTTCCCTTTATCTTCTTCCTTTAGCAATGATTTTTCATAAGTATCAGATCTCATACCATCTTTATGCAGATGATATACAGCTTTATCTTCCAATGCAACCAGATGACAATATATCTCTCCGGTTTTTGATTGATTGTGTGAGTGAAGTTAAAACTTGAATGGCGGAAAATATTTTACAGCTAAATGATTCTAAGACAGAAGTGTTGGTCTTTGGACGGCCTGAATGTGCTTCCATCCTTTCTAAAACTTTTGAGTCCTATAACTAAAACTGTAGGCACTTGTGCTCGGAATTTGGGTGTTATTTTTGACCCGGCACTCAATTTTGATAAACAGATAAAATCAGCATTTTTTCAGCTTAGGATGTTTGCTAAAATTAAATCTTTTCTCTCTTTTAAGGATCTGGAGACTATTATTCATGCATTTATTTCAACAAGATTGGATTATTGTAATTCTTTGTATTTAGGAATTACTCAGTCATGTTTATCTCGTCTCCAGATGGTCCAAAATGCTGCGGCCATACTTTTAACAGGGACCAAAAAGAGAGAAAGTATTACTCCAGTTTTAATTAGTTTGCATTGGCTTCCTATCGAGTTTCGAATCCAGTTTAAAGTACTGCTG